AAAACACCATATTTAAAGGATAAATGGGAGTTTCGTTTATGCTTTTTTAAATACGCATTAGCACCATTCTCGTAAACAGTATTTAAAATCCCTGTCAATTCTTTTTTACACTCCTGCAATGGAAACAGTAAATTTCAGTGTGCAGTATGTTATGTTAGATACTGTATCCATAAAAATATTTACCCTGCCCGTACTTTTCACAATTGCTGGTCATAGACATACACCTCCAGTCACAAAACAGTTTTGAATGATACAAATATGCATATTTACCATTTTAAAATTTGAAAAGAAAATTGTAAGAAAAAAGATATCTAGCTTATCTTTAATCTAATAATTTAACTTTTTAACATTTTTTATTACGAAATTTAACTTTTTAAATGTTAATTAAAATTTATTTTTTAATCTTTAACCCCTGCATATTCAAGAAAATTCTACAGTCACAACAAACAAAATGCAAAAATTATAACCTCGCATACAATAACAGTTGATTAAGACCTTTAGCTCCAATGACAGAAATCGTAATCAGGGAGCGTATACAAATTAAAAAGTCTGTATTTGTATATAACAAAACACAGAATATCAGCATTAAAAAGTTTTCTGATAATAAATTGAGTTATAGGCATTTTCATGCAGATTATCACGAAAGGTACAGATCAATATAATTTTTTTTAAAGGAGAATTCGTGTTCCAAAAAACACTGTTGGGCTTCACTATTATCACATACACAACTCATAACATTATTTGAACATTATTAAAAATGCTTCTAGTTTAATGAAGCTTTTCTGTGATTGTTAGATGATGAATCTAAAGTAAAAATCTATCTAAGAATATTAATTGTACAATTTTAGCACTTGAAAATATATAAATTACTTAGAAGAAAATTCTTCCAACATACTATGTAACATAATTATATATTATAGAATTTTACATATCACTTAATTGGAAAAGAATATGAATGACTGAACTTCTAGGAAAAAGAATAAAACTTAAATGATTTTAATTTATTTATCAACTGACACCTCAAGACATGTTGAAAATCATATCAATAACTGCAGATTTTGAAATTAAATATCTCTGCCAGTTTTTGGCATATTGGAATGAAACTGTTTTGTGTTACTTTTTGTAATTATAAAGTTTTCTTAAATATGAATATATGGATCAGAGGACTGTATGAAAATTTAGACTTCTTTCCTTTTTTTTAATTATTTAAAAATACCAAAACACAAATATTTGCATCTTTAAAACTACTTTTGTAACTGGAAGTATGCATATACAACCAAAGGTTGCCAATACTTCTGTGGACATGGTGTATATATCTAAAGCACAGTTAATGATTGGAATATTTGTAGAAAAGCACTTCAAGACTATATGCTTAAGAAGTATGTTTTCATGGACAGTTTTCAAATGCAAATTGGTCCACCTGAAATTTAAAAGTCGCTGATTCATGCATTGTCCAAGTAACAGTTTTACATATGTCAGTTTGATAATTTTAAAGATTCAAATGGATAATTTAATCCAGAGAAGCGAAGCACTTTAAAGTAGTGAGCATTCTGATACATCTGTACAATGTATCAGTAGTACACGTATACATAAAAATTTATACAATACATAATTTGAAACTGCACAAAAATGGCAAATATACGCACAAGCAATTTAAATGAGTTTTATGTTTGCAACTTGACATCATCAGATAAATTAAATAAACCACGACAAATGATAACAGAAAGTAAAAGTAACATAATACTTTTATATCAATTTATGAAATTCTTATATACGACTGTCTCACTTCTCCTGTGGGCAAAATAAAACACAATAATGACATATAAGATGGACAAAAAGTATGAGTTATGCTGCAACTATGGACACTTTGTCGTAAAATTCTAGATAATCTTGATAATAAAGTGACTATATGATAATTTTCATCGTGTATTACGGAGCCTTCTTGGTGAAATTTAAAATGAGAAATCAATCATTAAAACAGTGATCTTTCTAAACTTGACAGATTATTCCTTAAATCTGTTTAATTAAATTTACCTTCTCACCTAACTGAATGATGCAATTTTTATGAACAATACAGTATTAAAGAAATAAAATACTATTTATATGTATATGAATTTTAAGCATAAAAAGGATAGCAATTTATAACCTATTGGGATGCCAAAGCATCTTATTTTAGTGCAATGGTTTGCATCTATCAAACATGAGGACTGCACTCCCCCCAGATTAATTCTATATTCCTAATCAATACAAGAGCTTGACTTCTAAACTTTTAAGAGAGGCTAGAGAGTAATATGAATTGCTCATTATTCCAAAAACATGATAACTCTTTAACCCTCTCAGTGTTTCGGCCGGAAAATTCCGCATAGAAGGCTGCCTTCTATATTCATTATACATGAAAATTTCTGCTAGTTTTAATTTATCTGATTTCGGTTTGGATGTATATTGGAAGAAAAGGAATCAAGGTACAAAATGAGAGAGTCATTTTTTAATTAAAATCAAGAAAATACCACATATTCATGACATTTTGAGGAACTTTGAAATTTCAGGGCTAAACTCGTAATGATCGGAGGGTTAATTCCCTTTGAATAGCACATGAATAAATTTTGTCTCCTTATAAATTAAACAACACAACCACTGGATATGAAAAATTATATAGTTCATTATACAACTTGCTTGATTATACATATGTAGATCCAAAAGTTTCTATCCTGATTTATATTTTTAAAAGAAACAGAAAATTTTAACAACCTGTTTTTTAGAATAATCTCATTACACCTTGATACACTTTTCACATTATCACTTATCACCTGAAAAAAATGAACAAATGTTGCTGAAAAAGTAATCTGAATGTTTGCCCTAAAAATTATCTATAACTGCTCTTTTCATGCCATCATCAACATTAAACCTCTTTTCACAAAGATCAGAATATAGTTTCATAGAATATAGATCAGAATATAGATCAGAGTATAGTTTGGAATACATATAATCACTTAAAACTAAACCTGAGATGTAAGAGCTTCTTAAAATTCCAATCAAGCTCCTTAAAATTCGATTGCTGTTTTTGAACTGCATTGACACATAGCTGTTTTGAATAAAAGTCATAATACCTATATTCCTGAATAGTCAACCTACACAATAATTATCTTCTATGGATTATTAGTCCATGTGAAATTGTTTAACATATTCTTTCACTGTAAAATAGGAAAGAGATAAGTTGGCATACACATGATCCAAGAACTGCTTTATTTCTTTGCAATTAAGATCTGCTATAGTCAAAAATTTAAACACAGAATAATACTCAATTTTAAACATTTCAGAGCAATCTAGCAACATTATACAACAAACAGTAAAAAAAGAATGCATAAGATTTCTCAAAACAAAACCTTCAAGTTTATTCATTTAGTACTGCCATTACATGTCTGAAAGAGAAACTGAAAAATAATTGTTCATATGTGAAGTTGGAAACATTTGGATCTACTTATATATTTCAAAGGATAAATTCTATATGATACCACTTGCATATGAGTAAACTGTAAATGGCGTAACAATTTCATCTCATGATGATCAAACACCAATAAGAAAGGTTCAGGAACACTGCCTTAAATAAATGCAGTCAAACCTGTTTAAGATATTACTTATTTTGGTACAACTCTGATATACGCCCTAATTTCAACAAATGTGGCGATATGTGTTCTGTGCTGGTTTTTGGCACGATTACGTGTTGTATGGCAACCCTGTTGACGTTGAAAAATCTTTCGCTGGAGCTCATTGGTTCGTGTTATGTTCGTTGGTTCACGTCATGCTCGTTGGTTCGCGTCTGTGTCTGAGAAGATAGGGGGAAAGATAAAATGGTGGAAGTTGTTGAATTGAAGTTCGTCAAAAGGAAATATCATTGTGGCCCTCCTGTTGAGGAGCAGTTGGTGCTTGGAGGAGTGGAAAGAAGGTCTGGGAGATTATTTTTAGTGGCTGTGCATGATAGAAGTAGGGATTTGTGATTTTATTTATTTGTGAATCATAGTATGAATTTTCCAGATAGTGTGTCTGGCTGTCATATAAATATGATAGTGATTATGTGGCGGCATGTTAAAGGTGGTATGAAATTGGTATTTCTGCTGTTCGAAAAAGCATTAATTCATGGTAAGCGCATTTTATTTTATTCTTGTTCTTATTTTGAGAATGTTATGTTCATTGATTTTTTAGTATGAATTTCTGTCGTTATTGTTTTTTTTTTTTTTAATTGTTTGAAATTTATTTTAGTTTATTTTGTTAATAAGTGCGTAGTGTCTACATTGTGCAATTCGTAGATGTTTTTTAAAGTTGAAACAGAACGCTGTGTACATGGTATTCTTTGAAATTTATTGTTGTTATGTTAATTTATTAAAGCGAGGTGTGCTCAGTTTGCAGATTCCTTCGTTGCCTATATTTTGCAATTCGTGGGTGTGTTTTTAAGTTAAAACATATCACTGTGTACATGGATTCTTGTCAAATATTTTTGGTTAGAAACTTTACGTTTTTGCTATCTAAATTTTTTGTTTTTGTTTTGGATTTTTAGCTTAAATTGTGTGTTCAAAGCGTGGTTTTTGCATGTGCAGAAACTGCGTTTTTGGAGACATTTAGGCTTAAAGTTCGAAATGTAGACAAAAATTTAGATACTAATATGGCAACGTGGCGAGAAATTTGTCGACTTGAGGGCACATATCAGAGTAGTTCCCTTATTTTACTGCCTGAAAAAATTTATGAGGGAAAATTTAAGGACATAAATTTATCACATTGTGAACGGTGCAGTAGAAAATAAATGTTTTGGGCAGTATAATACATTAATTGGTAACTAAGTAAGAATTTATTTAGAAAAGAGTTTTCCATAAAGTATCACGTCAATAAATAACAATAAGAAATTTACTTAATGTCTAAGATTAAATTTCAACCAAAAAAAAAAAAAAAAAAAAAGGGCATGTGTAATTTATATTTAACATCAACGTTTTTAAATAATAAAATCTGACCTCAAAACACTTCTCAGTAGTAAAATATTTAGCTGCAGCACACATTGACACAGTCTCCAAGCCACCTTTCTGCAAAGTTTCTGCAGCTTTACGGACTAATAAACGAGAAGCAATTAAATTCGATGCCATGCGAGCGAGGAGAAACTGATTATGCTAAGGAGAAGAAACAAAACAATAAATACATTTTTAAAAACATATCATCTATAATTTAAAAACAGAAAATATGCAAAGTTGTGAAAACCTTTTCAATCCATATTAATAATTTAGTTAGACATAGGTCCCTTTGAAATTTTTGAGATAGACGCAGATTATAAGTAGTACGGAAAAAATAACGGTAAGATTTGAAAATATGAATTACATTAGCCCATCAATTGATTTTTTATTGGACAATTGCAAGCAATTTAGCACAGAAGAAATTTTAAGCAGAAGGAAAAATTTTGATGCGAGAGTGTTATCACGCTGATTTTAAAATGGGATTAAATCAAGAAGAATGTGCTCGACGTCTACAATTAGCATTTAGAAATGTAGGTCCATCTCATGCTACTATATTCAGATGGTTTACATAATTTCACAGAGATTGCAACTCTCTGAAGGATAAAGAACACACAGGAAGGCAATTTTCAGCAGTAATCTTCCATAATGTGTCTGCCATACAGAAAATATTAATCGATGACAACCGTTGCACCTACCAAATGATACAGAAGGAACTTAACATTGGATCTGTTGCCATACATAGAATTATTTACGAAGAACTGCATATGAAAAAACTAGTTTGCTGCTGGGTTCCCCATAATTTAACTTGGCACCAAAAAGAGAAGCATGTCAAAATCTGTAAAGAAACCCTTAAATTACTTAAAGATGGTGGCCACCACATTATTTCTAAAATTGTAGCTGGTGATGAAATGTACAAACCATTATTTGACGCTCCAACATGTCAAGAAAGTAAAGTGTGGGTCTTTGATGATGATCCCTCCCCCCCCATATTGGTGAAAAGGCCATGAGAAAAGTAATACATGCCATTTTCTTCAGAAGTACAGAACGGATCAAAGCCATCAAGCTGGAAGGACAGAAGACAGTCACAGCTAACTGGTACATCACCAAGTGTCTTCCATTATTCTTCAAGAAGTGAATGTTAGAGAACCCATGCTCCACACTATGACAATGCATCATCTCATTCAGCAAGACTGACAGTTGAGTTTTTTGAACAAAAACACATCAAAGTGATAGAACATCCACCCTATTCACTCAATCAAGCCATCTAAAAAAGAACTTACGTGGACGTCCTTTTCATTCCAAAGATACGATTGATGATACTAAAAAATGCAATTTTTTCATCGATTTCAAGATATGAATGGCTTGAGGCATTTAATATTCAGAAAATTCGCTTACAGGAGAGCACTTATGCTGTAACAGACTACTAAAAACTTATGTGTATCTTTAAAAATTTCAAAGCGACCATCGTACTTTTATGTGCCACTAATTAAGTATGAAAATAATCAAACTTATAAATTAAAAATGCTTTCAAAATGCTCAAACGCTTCCTTCAATTCAAAAATTATTATTTAATGCCCAAGGTTAGATTGCCAAAGAAATTTGGTTTGATATCTACCATTATTAAAGGATAAAGAGTTCCCAAATTGAGTAATTAGTTTTAATGCTTTGCAGACTATTCTACACTTTCTTCAGAAATTCCAATTGAGTCTAGTTCTTAAAATACTCTTACGTTATTTATTATTGCATTAATCATAATAGAAATATTTTATGAAAACGTTTTCTCTTTTCTAAATTCTGAACCTGAAATCACCCATCCAAAGACAGCCTTTATTGCACCCAACTGCTTGTTTATAGCGACTTTTTCATCTAAGATAAAATTCCAGAACAAACGGATCCTATTAGAATTTCAACATTAAAATAATTATCAGGGTAACACAAGTCAGAGAGCTGTAAATCATGTCTAGTTATGAACTTATGGTGAAATTATGGTGCTTGAAATGCTTGGAATAATGAGGATTTCGATTTTACTAATGAACTGCGTATTTTTTCTGTTGCTTTCTGCATTCCAAAGGAAGTGCACAGAAAGCATTTCATAATGAATAAGTTTAAATTTGAGAAGTTGAAAGGACAAAAAGAATATTGGCTACCAGTGTCTAATAAAAATTATGTTAATTTAGAATTAAATTCTGAATTTGCAACAACTGTACATGTTTGCAAATAAAAATTTTTTGAACATATCAAGCCTGCATTACACTATAAAAGTGAGTTTACCGTTTCAGAATTAGAATTATTAGACACTTTAATATTCTCAGCATTATAATTTGAATTAGGTGATATTTTACATTTACTTTCCGTATCATTCAGCTGATTAGTTCCTGCAGTATTATTATTTCAGCTATTACCCAGACAATGATGACTCTCACTGAACCAAGGAAGTTTGTTAGAACAACAGTTTTTAGTAATACAATGCATTTTAAAAGTATTAAGCATTCTTCAAATTTTCTAATTTATTTTGAGTTGATACTCTGCATTGAAACAAATTGTGGCACATGAGAAATGCCTGTAGATGGCATCATCTGCATAGTAAATGCCATTAGAGAGTGTACTTTTAGACATTCTTTTCATGAAAGTGTTTTGAAGCTTTGCAGTTTTCCTGATGATGTTTGAAATTTTATTTCACACTTGTTTAGATGCTTGTTCTGTACCAAAAATACGTTTTTTTCCCTCTGTTTCAGAATATTATTTTTTTCTGAACCTTCAAAGCTTACATTTTCTACAGATCTGTGAAACAATATCTTGTGGTATAAATTTGATCAGCATGAGACACAGCAGAGATCACTAAGTTTCTGAATTTAGCCCTAGTGCTTCTGAATTCTGAGCTTCCATTTCACAAGTATCTATTACATCTCTAAGCAGAAAAATGTCTGTTGATTTCCTTGATTTCCTAATGGCATTACAAATTAACCCTTTGCACTCAAGCGGTGCCTCTCATGCACCACTGGCATGTGATGCAATAACTCGAGCAGTGCCTGAGAGGCACCATTCGAATCAATGTGCTTATTTGTGTTTGACCTAAGGAATGTATATTTAAAATGTGTGATGTATATTTAAAATAACTTTAACTTTAATGGCGCTCATGCTATGCGATTCCGTTGTTGTGATGCACGTGTTACTGTGCTAGCTGAATGTTATGTGAACTGTTTAAAAATGTAATAATAAAAGTTTTGAATTCTTGAGATATACTCATTAGTTGAGTCTTCTTTTAAAGTACAGAAGTAATTAAATTCAACAAACTACACAAGAAGTTACATGGTGTCAGGAGCAAAATGGATTTCAGACCACCTGCTCCGCTAACATTCTCCGTCGGAAATGTTAAAGAAAAGTGGAAAAAATGGAAGCAAGAGCTAGAAAACTATTTACTTGCAACGGAAAAAGATGCCAAGCCAGATAAGACTAAAATTGCAATCCTTTTGAATTACTCGGTACTGAAGGACTCGAAATTTATAACACGTTTCGATTTGAGCCACCTGAGAATAAGGAGAAATACGAAGAGGTCTTGAAGTCTTTTGAAGATTATTGTTCACCACGGCAGAATGTCGTATATGAACGTTACAAATTCTTTTCGTGTAGCCAGCAAGAAGGACAAACAATTGAATGTTATGTCACTCAGTTAAAGACTTTAGCGTTCAACTTGTGAGTTTGCTGAACAAGAAAATGGATTGATTCGCGACCGTATTGTATTAGGCATTCGGGATAGGAGTCTGACCGAACGTTTGCTTCGAGAATCTAACCTAGGATTAGAAAAAGCTATAGAAATAGTCCGTGCCGCTGAAACAAGCAAAGAGCAACTCCGGAACATGAAAGATGATCCAGCGACTGTGAACAGCGTGAAGAAATATAGAGAAACAGCAGCATCAATCAAAACAGTCAGTGCCACCGAAATTGTCGTCGCAGCAGAAGCAATCAGCACTAGAATATGACTGCAAGAAGTGCGGAAGAAGGCACAAATATCGGGACTGTCCAGCTTTCGGAAAGACGTGTGCGAAATGCAAAGTAAAGAACCATTTTGCCGCGAGGTGTCCCAAGAACATTTATGAAGTTGGAATACCAAATAATGAAACTTAGTATATATAATGAACATAGTGTATTTGTTGACTCTGTAATGATAGAATCCACCAGTAAACGGGCATAGTGAATTTAAAATAAGTGCAAAATCAATCAAAGATCTAACAAATTCTATTGATGAAGTAAATAAGGATATTCACAAGGTAAGTGAAACATGGGTGAAAAGTATTACAATGTATGTAAATAATAAGTATTTCAAGGTTGATTTTAAGTTAGATACTGGTGCAGAAGTAAATATTTTGCCTTTGTATGTTTTAAATAATGTTAAACTTAAGCCTAAACTTAATGAAACTGATTTGTTCTTAACTGCATATGGTAATTTTAAGTTAAAACCAGAAGGTACTCTTATAATTAATTGTTCAACTGAAAGGCTTAAGAATGTACCTTTACAATTTTTATGTTCTTGATGTAAGATCTAAGCCTATATTAGGGTTAACAGCTTGTTCTGCATTAAAGCTAATTGAAAGGATTGATTCTTTAAAGTGCAATATCATTAATAAAAATGATTTAATTGCTCAGTATAAAGATGTATTTACAGGCACAGGGCAATTTCCTGACGAACCATATCATATAACCCTTAAAGATGATGCAATACCAGTAATACACCCCCCAAGACGTGTTCCTCAGGCTTTACAGCCTAAATTAAAAGATACTTTAGATAAACTTGAAAGAGAAGGGATAGTATCGAAAGTAAATAAACCAACTGATTGGGTTCAAAGTTTGGTTATAGTTGAAAAAACCTAATGGGAGTCTGAGATTATGCTTGGATCCTAGAGATCTAAATAAAGTAATTAAAAGGGAACACTATCAAATTCCTTCTCCAGATGATATAATTAGTAGGTTAGAAGGTAAAAAAGTATTTTCAGTTGTAGATTTAAAAGATGGATTTTGGCATGTACCACTAGATGAAGCTAGTTCTGAACTATGTACATTTAATACTCCTTATGGAAGATATAAATTTAATAAAATGCCATTTGGAATATCCTCCGCCCCAGAAATATTTCAGAAAAGAAACCAAAAATTATTTGGTGATA